TTTTTTTTAAGAGTCTGCTCTTTAATGCAATAATACCCTCCACCAAAAAACACTTTTCTAGGAACATTCTAAGCTAGCAGCGCCGAATCGGGTTTCACCATCTTTTCGAAATTCAGCAGCAGCAACTCAAGCACCAGCGACTAATGGAATGCTCTTAGTAGGAGATGAATGGGTCATTGCACCTATCGCAAGCCAGTGCTCTGGGCTTGCCAAGACCAACCTGACGCACGATGTTCGCAGAGTGGTCCTCAAGCGTGACAACAATAAAAAATATGGCCTGCGAATGAGAGCTGTTAATAAAGTATGCTATGTTTAATCCAGTACTTTATCGAGAGTTTAAAGAAGATAGCCATTACCTGCACTAGCAAAGTTATTCCATTCACCGTTTTTTTTTCCTTGTACAGTATGACAGAAAAAAAAAACAGAAATCATGTTCGAGAAGTTATTTCATTCAAATTTCCAAGGAAAAGAAGAAAGGAAAGACGAGATGGCTTGGTTTCCTATCTTAATGAGTAATGAGTTGAAGAGACTAAGGAGGAAGGGTGGGGAGAAGATGACACTCGAATTATTTGTCTTCAAAGGAAAATGTAAAGAGACTGATTCGATAAGGGTGAGCCAGAAAGGCGCAAAATCCATTCAGAGAAAAGTGAAATCTAGCGGTAGAATTGCCAACTGAGTCGAAATTAAAATCAGCTTGAAAATGCTAAATTGAGCCAGCTCTGTCCATATTAGAAGTTTCTGAAAAAAGCTTAGATTATATTATGTAAGAAAGAAACCGTTTATATTTTAGGGTGTTTTTGTACAACTTGTGACAAAAGATTCTCCGTCAGCAGCAGCGGGCATTCGATTTGGCGATCAGGTTCTAAGTCTCAATGGTACTGAGATGCTCGGCATGACCGGACAAAAAGTTAGTTTCCTGCCTTTGTTCTGTGCTTTTCCTGAGCGTAAACTGGCAGCAAGTTCAACTGACCAACTGATCACTCACTTATTTTGCTGTACCTTCTAATCTTTTTTGTAAGTTTAGGCAATGGAATTGATGAAGAAGACAAAACGGGAACTAGTCCTCATAGTCAGAGACAGGTACGTTTCTTCAAAAATTCGCCGCCGTTTCACTCTTGAAACTTCACTTTGTATGATTTTTTGTGATTATGCAGAAAAATAATGTAAAATTCACTGCGCTAGTTTCCCTGGCTTTGTATTTGAATGTCCATTTTCCTAAGCGGCTTATCTGATTTTAATCTAGTTTAAAGAATTCGTCCCGAATCTCATGTACAGTGGGAATTTCATTTTGCCCAAGGACAAGTTTGCTTGCCGAGCTAGGCACTCCTAAGGTACCATCGACAGGAAGGAAATTTTATAAAGAGGCTGTGTGTTGGAGCGCAGAAGCCTTTTACCTCTCCCATTCAGTGGTCTTTTACAGTGTTTGTTGAAGTGTTGCAGGTTCACATTCAACCGCTGTTTTCATTATTTCTATGACTGCCTAACCGCTTTTGTGGTACCATGCTGTCA